GTGTCTTCCTACAACTGCTTACTCAACCCATCTCCTATTTTCAATCGACACAGCAGCCAAGTCTAATCACTATTTTGATCATTTTATATGCATGAATAAATGTGTTTAGATATTGAATGGTTTGTGAATAATACATTGAAATACATTGAATGTATGAGACCCATTCCTCTGTGCACACAAAAAAAACCAATGAAGCATACAAAATTGCAACTTCATCTAAAAATGTTCTTAGTTTTTAACCTTTAAATCATTCACAATAAGCAAATCCTTCAATTCCAGAGCAAACACAGGGGAATGGTTGAAAAATGCAGAACAGTAATAATATTGTGCAAATGTCAGCATATACACATTATCTTGGGTTTCTTTCACTGTGTTATTAAAAATCATCTACTCTCAAAATAGTAATGATAACCCCAACCCAAACATTTTACAGATTTGACCCAACATGATCTGTGGTGGAGCATTGTTTTACCTCAACATTGAGATCACAAATATACTTATATATAACGTAATAATAATGAGCCACTGGTGCAAGGAGGCCCATAAACTAGACATGGATACATCTGTTCTGTCTGGAGGAATGGGCCAAATTTCCTCAATGTCAGAAACTTGCGAAAGGGTACGCAAAATGTGTGGCCCAACAATTGGAAGGCAAACCTACCAGTTATTGAAAATATGTATCCACCTGAGAGCACAAACAGTTTTTCTTCGATTGCACATTGGGAATTCTAACAAGCTTTGATGAAAACTTTTTTTGTTAATCGTAAAGGTGAAGGTGCACTTTATTAATCCTATAATAAAGTGCAATTCTTCCTCTGCATTTGACCCATCCTGATGCCACTAAGGCTTACGTCAGGAGCAGTGGTCGCCATAGTAACATCGCCCGGGAACCCATCTCCAGATGTTGAGGCTGGGCTTGGTCAGGACTACCGCAGCTGGAGGATTTACCTAGTGTGTACGTTTTTAGGGGTAGGGGGAAACCAGAGTACCCGGAGGACATCTACGCAGGCACGGGGAGAACAGGCAAACTCCACTCAGAAAGACCGTTTCGACCGGAATTCGTACCCAGGACCTTCTTGATGAGAGTGCTAGCCACCGTATGTAACCTAATGTCAACTGTAGCAGGGGTCAGGAAGCTATGATTTATCTTGATTTTTTTTTTTAAATGTCTCTATTGTGCTATCAATAAAGTTTACCTTATCCTAAGATTGTGTGGCTCAGAAAAATACCTATGGATATTAGGATTTCTTCAGTATAGAATTGTTAATACACAAAATAACATGTTTTAGTTTTTTTTTTAAATCACATATTTACCGTGAAAAAAATGTGTATGGCTCCCACATAAATTAAAATAAATATTATGTTTATGTTTTTTTGCTCTCTCAGCTAAAAACGTTCCCGACCTCTGTCATAAACTCTCGCAGACAGAAATGCTTAACCGTCATGAAACACGAAGGGACATGGGTGCGGTGAAAATGTCACTGTTTGCACTTGTGAACAGTGAATGCAACTGCTGTGAGCGTGTCCCTGAGGCTCCACTTCAGACCTCTTCAGATCCTTTCACACCGGTGTAACACTCACCTGAGGACAGACCAGAGTCCAGTCCACACACGCATACACACACGCCATCAGAACACGCCAACCACACATACTGTACATACTTCTCATCACGGAAAGGCTGTTTCAGAAGTCCAAGCATTCTAGATCATTTGACGGTTAGAGAGCGACAGATGTTTAATTTCATACTAATAGTCACACATAAAGATCCTCCATAGTTCATGAAAATACACACACAACACAAAAAGTTTTCCTGTCTTTTTTGAAACGTGAGATTTAAACCTGTTAAGATTAAGAAACTGCTTCTGCATGTCTCTGTTCCTGAGCTATTTCAAACGAAAAATGTCTGGTTTTCTTCGAAGTACCTTGGATTAAAAGAAAATCTAGATAATTTCCCTACTATGAAATATGTGCAGTTTGAGCAAGATTCTTCTGAAAGTTACTTTTATCAGTGAAGGCACTTGTACTAGATAGAAATAGTTTATTTCTAGCCCCCACCCCCCACATGAATGCACTGGAGGGCGTGTCCAGACACGGTAGAGCACTGTGTCCTGGTCATAGACTGTCCTGCCATGCTCACGGGAGCTGGCTATTTCTGCATCCCGTGCACAGGGACGAGACACAGAAGCCAGCCTTGTTTCAGCCTGTGACAAAGTGGGCTTATCCCTCCACTCCACTTTTAACATCCTCTAACATCCCCATGTACAATATACTAAAACTTGTTAGGTTAGTTAGGTACTTCAATTCATCATTTATTAAGTCTTAGTCACAACAGCAAATTCAGTTTTAAAACACCAAACATGATTTAGTTTAAACCCGTATATTTCTTTTATCTCATTCCTACCTGCTCCATGTGGCACCTGATTAAAATACCATTCCTGGTTTTAAACTACTGGACGGTGGTGTCGCTGTTATGGTATTAAGCTCCATGTGAGCTCCTCACCCCCTCCCTCCTGTTCCTGCTCTGTGTTCCTGGCTGGCCTTTACCTGCCCCTCATCACCTCTGTATTTAAGCCTGGGCATTTCACGACCCAGGCCAGATCGTCAGTCTACATCATGAGACAACACTTCAAGCCAATTTGCTGTTTTTTTGAGGCCCTTGACTGATCAAATGTTTCTGCTGCTCACAGATTCTCATGCCAGTTGCCTGCCATCAGTGTTTCCTCTGCCACTTCACTCCTGCTCCAAATCCTACTCCTGTTCCAGTTTCGGCCCACCCTACCAGCTCAACCTTCATTCCTGTTAATAAATCCTGTTAATCCGTCCTCTGCATTTGGGTTCACTTATTTGATCATAACAGTCACCAATGCCCTCATCAAGAGGAACCATTGTGAAGCGGGTATTTGCTTAAAGTGATTGTCTGGAGTTTGTCAGAAAGAGAGACAGAGAGGTACTTGATTTGAAAAAAACGACGCAAGCTCCCTCCCCTTTCCTTTCTGATTGGTCTACACCTACGTTTCCGTAACACTTTGAAATGTTAATCAGAGAACACATTATACTTATACATTATTAATACACATGCACAGAGGTTTTCCGAATTATTTGTGAACGTTTTAATGAAAAAAATAATGTTTTTATGCACAAAAAAAGCGATCGCGGGAAACCAGGAAGTGCTATTATCATGAATTGCACATTAAACACATCTGCAGAGTATCTGATTATGGATATAGGTTCAGTATATACATAAGTACCTCAGCGCGGATGTTCAGAATTCTTTGGTCAGTTTTCATGTAGTTCCAGAGCCTAATAGAGGCTTGATTCAGAGGCTCCGCAAAAACAAACAACTGAGCATGCGCAGCTGCGAGCATCAGCGCGATGATTGACAGCCCTTGGCATGACTCGATTGGTTAACCTCGACGACACCGTGGATTCTGAGCTATAGCTTGGAGCAGGGAAGGCGGGACTTGCCCGTAATATTAGAATTAATAAAATGACTTATTTTATATCAACATTTAAGGCCAGGAGGTCAATTTAGCACATTTCCTAAAATGTGTAATTAATTTAGAGTTACAGACTATCACTTTATTAAAACCATTTTCAGATTTATATGGTAGGCAAAATGTACATTTTCAATCAATGTTTTTTAATGTATTACTGTCTGCAGTAATTATGTTTTTGTGTGAAATTTAAGGCAACTGTAAAGGATATTGAGGTAATTCCAGCTAAGTAGGATGGGCCAATCAGGTCAGGCCTTGTATAAATCGGGATGTATGTCCTGGTCAGGGAATGCATTGTTACCTTGTCTTCGCAGGAAAACACTATGCCGATATTTTGGAAACTGTAATCAAAGCATCACTTTTTTTTTCTGTGCCTGCTTGTGCCTGCTTCAACCTGCTGTTGTGGCCACAAGAGGCTACACTACCTCACACACTTTTAAGAGATGTGCTCAGAAATATAAATGCTATTGTGTACAGACGGGGAACATTAGAGGAGTATTCTACGGTCTATGATTGGAACAATCCATTCTATTCATCATAGACTTTGCAAAATCCCACATAAGGTTTGTTGCAGTGTACACTTTTTTAATAAAAAAGAGGAGGGGCAAATACTCCTGGTATATTTTAGTAACCCTGTGTTTGCGAGTGTGACTGTGACAGCCAATCGCTACAATCCGCAGACGTGAGTCATTAGTTTCAGTTTCAGTTTATTCTTCTTCACAATATCACACATTTGTTCATACATTGAGTTTGTAACTAATTTTGTGACACTGGGAAAAAGAAATGGACACCCTAGGAAGCTACACAAGCTTATGTACGGGGCCCAAAAATACAATTAACATTAACATGCACATTCCCAACCAAATACAAAAATACACATTTTCTTGTATTTATTGACCTCTGCCCCATTTTTAGATCTGCTTTTTCAGTCATAAAAGTAAAAGGGAAGATGATCCTCGCACAGCCAATCCGCTCTCCGCTCAAAATGTCAAATAGTAACTCACTGGATTCACAAGTATGCAATACACAAAATTTTTAATGTTGTGTTCTAAGTTGTAAACTGTTTTATTTTGTATAATGCTTTCTCTGCTTTGACAAAACCAAAATGTATTACTTATGTGGGGGTTGAAGTTGGTACCTCAGCTTTAAGTACAGTACAGGATAGTTACTGGCTGCCTCTGTCCACAAATGCACAATTGGATTTATTCTCCAGCCTCGTGTATGAGAACAAGGGCGCCAGCAATGAGTGGCAGTTAACCCGTCTGACATCAGTACACACTGGTGAGCGTCTGCTGACTACAAGTGAAGGCGGGCTAATGGAACGTCTGACTTTGCTGAGTGAACACAACCCAAGGAGCTGAGCGAGAGCCTGTCGCGTTGTGCATTTGCATGAACGGAAGCCGCTGAAGCAGAGAAAAAAAAGCTAATGTTGTGCCCATTCCTGGCTCTGCAGCTGGACCAAAAACACAAACGTTTAGCTTCCAAAAAGGCAGACAAAAATGGCGCATGGGAGGATACCAAAAAAATTGGTCCGTGAGTTTGTCCGGGAGATGCTGCAGATGTCCGGGGATAGATATAACGGGTGCAGATCATTTTGCTGTGAGAGAGAATAAAAAAACACTTATCTTATCAAACAATCATAAAAACGAGGCTGTTTATGCCGTTGCTTTAAAACATCTCATCATGCTGTTGTGTTTTCACAGTAATTTGGTGTTTTGTCATTTCTTTGTGTCCTCAAAATTAGTCCATTTGAGTCCAAAAAGTGTGATTTTAACAAACAATGATACAAGGCTGCGTGAGTCATTCTCTTTTTCCCACTTTCCCATTTTGTTATTTCATCTGCTGTACTGCAGAAACAGATTTGATTTCCTACTTCCTAACGCAGTAAAGTGCACGATTGCTGGGGAAACTATTCATATCCGTCAAGGTGAATGTTCACTGGTAAAACATTATTATGATGAAAGAACCTTTATATTTACCAGTCTTATAAAATAATGTAATTGTGTGCAACATTACAAACAATCATATTATCTCAATTATACATGGTTGCTTTTTCCAATTGAAGTTCTATAGCGGAAATAAGCTTGGTCTCAAGCCTAGTTTATGCGCGGAGCTTACGGAGGTGACGTGACGTCACTTGCGCAACGCGTTGGTCACCGCAAGGCCCTTACGTTGCCTGCCCTGCAGCATCGACATTTTCTAATCAATCAATCAATCAACGTTTATTTATAGAGCGCCTTTCCTACACAAGGCAACGCAAAGCGCCTCACAACCCATATAACATCATGCATAAATCATCAAACATTAGAATTTAAGTAAACATAAAAAGACAGATTAAGAGCACAAGATATATAAAATCACACAAGTAGTTAAAAACCGTAAAACATTAAAATCACACAAGGGATTACAATCATAAATAATCATAAATAATCATAGCGCATTAAAAAGATTAAAGATAAAAAACAAATATAAAATCATTCACTTGTATGCACAGCTAAAAAGAACTGTTTTCAGTTCAGTTTTAAAAACTGCTAGAGTAGACGCCTGTCTCACATTCTCGGGAAGACGGTTCCAGACTCTAGCTGCATGAATCTGAAACGCAGCCTCCCCATGTCTAGTTCCGACTCTTGGCACTAACAGAAGTCCAGTCCCTGTGCTCCTCAGAGCCCGAGTTGGTTCATATGGCACCAACATGTCGCGGATGTACCCTGGTGCGAGGCCATGGAGAGACTTGTACACAAGTAAAGCTACTTTAAAATCTATTCTCTGAGCCACAGGAAGCCAGTGCAGAGACCTGAGGACCGGACTAATGTGGTCGTACTTCCTGGTTCTAGTCAGGACTCGAGCTGCAGCATTTTGGATGTACTGCAGCTGTTTTACCGCTTGTTTAGAGAGACCTGTGAACAAGCCATTCTAACTACGTAAGGGTCGCCACAAGGAAGCTCCGCTGTGATTGGTCCATGTGTGTATTGGAAGGAAGCATGAAGCGGCTGCAGCAGGGACATGGACGAGGCACTATGGAGCAGAGAGCTTTGTGCTTCGAAGGAAAAGCAGTTTGGGCTCAGAGCCTGATATACAGGAGACTGTGGACTATCTAACATATATATAACTTATAAACTGTGCAGTCGTTTGTTTTGCACTGTTCCTGTCTTTGTTTGAATCGTAGCTGCGTTTGTTGCTTTCCTCCTGCACTCGTAAATCGTTCATGTTTGTCTCAGATATTTACCACTATTATTGTTTTGCTGGTTGTGCTGAAAACTATTTAATAATAACTATGTTTCCAACAAGAACTGTGTCTTTATTCACAGCATCACAGTTGAAATGACTTATAAAATAATGAATCCATAAAACTATCACATAAACCTACAGTAGAAACACGTGTAATGAGCTCAAACAGCTTTGTTTGTTATTGTTGTTCTGAAGAGGACAAAGTAGCAGCGTAAATGGGACCGCTCTTGTGTGATCGCCCTCATGTGGTTTGTTGTGGGATTACAACATTCTCCTCAAAACTCCGTAAGGGGAACGCGCCAGTATAACATCAATTGTGCTTACGTAGGTCCACCGCAACCGCTAACGTAAGCCACGCCGCGCAAGTATACACTAGGCTTAAGTTTTAAAACCACTGAAAATCGTTGTATAGATATCAGCAGATTTTAGCCAGAGCGCCTTTGTAAAAGACATTTGTTTTCAAACATCTCAAACAAGAGAACTCCCAGAGGTCAAATTAATGGCTTTCACTTTTGACAGCTAAATTACTATGTGTATGTACATTTGTGTGTGTCCAGAGCAGGTGCTGACATCAAGGCTGTACCATACACTGAACATGGAGTGTGTGCCTTACATTCATTTGTTAGGACTGCCTTTAAAATACTGCACATTGGTCCATTAGTACAAATTTGTATTTCTTCCATATTGAAAGCTACTATAATGATTTGTGGCTGACCCTGTGCGGCACTTTTGTCATGGTTTAAGTTTATTTCCTGTTTTATTTTGAAATGTGTTATCCCTGTGTCTTCTTTGGTTGTACTTCCTGTTGTCTGATTACCTGCCCTGCCCTCATCTGTCTCACCTGTGTCTCGTTAGTCTTGTATTTAGCCCTGTGTGTTCCTTCACTCCCTGTTCCGTCATTGTCATTCCTAGTCTGTTTTAGTTCTGTCCGTTCCCTGTGTTTTTGGAAGTTTTGGTGTTTGCTTTTTATTAAATCCATTATTTGTTGCAGTTTTGCATTTTGGGTCTCATTTAATTTCACACACGTGACAGAATGATGGAACCACTCAAGGCCCAAGCAGACTGCTTTATTTTTGTTTTTTATTTTTTGTCATCTCTGGCCCATCTTTGTCCCCAACTGGTCTTGACAGTTGCTGCAGGAGCTGGACGCATTCCCTGTCTGTCTGTGTCCTGGACCACTGCAGGACACTTGGCTCCGTCCTGGGTGGTTGCAGGCTTCCGTTCCTGACCTGGCTCCGCTGGATATTGTTCTCCATCCAGGGGGCCTTCTGTACCCGTTTGGCTCCAGTCCTGGCTCCAGTTCCTGCTCCAGCTCTTCCGCTCCAGCTCTTCGGCTCCACGCCCCGGCTTCACGTCCCGGCCCCGGCTTCACGTCCCGGCCCCGGCTTCACGTCCCGGCCCCGGCTACACGTCCCGGTCCCGGCCCCGGCTTCACGTCCCGGCCCCGGCTTCACGTCCCGGCCCCGGCTTCACGTCCCGGCCCCGGCTTCACGTCCCGGCCCCGGCTTCACGTCCCGGCCCCGGCTTCACGTCCCGGCCCCGGCTTCACGTCCCGGCCCCGGCTTCACGTCCCGGCCCCGGATTCACGTCCCGGCCCCGGATTCACGTCCCGGCCCCGGATTCACGTCCCGGCCCCGGCTTCACGTGCCGGTTACACCCCCCCGGTCCTTCCTACGGTACCCCTCCTCCCTCCCTGGTTTTGTTTTTGGGACGTCTGGGATCCGTCCCTTGAGGAGAGGGTACTGTCATGGTTTAAGTTTATTTCCTGTTTTATTTTGAAATGTGTTATTCCTGTGTCTTCTTTGGTTGTACTTCCTGTTGTCTGATTACCTGCCCTGCCCTCATCTGTCTCACCTGTGTCTCGTTAGTCTTGTATTTAGCCCTGTGTGTTCCTTTACTCCCTGTTCCGTCATTGTCATTCCTCGTCTGTTTTAAGCCTGGTTCACACGGCAGGATATTTAGGCCGATTTAGACCCGATTTACCCCTTACGACAATCTTAAGAAACGCTCCGATTTCCGTAACAAAATCTTACAGATTATCTTGCCGTGTGTGGTGTGTTAAGACTGCACTCGTCGCTCGGAAGGACATCGGGACTGCTCCCGATCTCAAATCGGGGATATCCAACATGTTGGATTGTTTTGGCCCGATTTCTTGTCGTGTGTGGTGTCCCCCGAGGACAAGCGAGCGCGTTGCCATGACTACGGCGTGTAGCCAATAAGAAGACTAGGTGACAAGCCGGTGAGGAAACACCGGAAAAAAAACCAAAACACAGCAGCATGGCTTTGACCATTGCCTTTTCTTTGGATTACGTCTCTTCTCTGTTAACAACAAACTGCACACTATCGCCACTGCATCCTCTTCGTCCGCCATGACTGTTTACTCTGAAGTCACGCTTGATCTCACGCTTGAAATCTCTTGTGAGATTTCCGTCTGACCTGGGAATGCTCGGGGGGGGGGGTGTCGGTTCGTGTGTGATGTTTGTGGCTTGCGTGATCTTGCCGTGTGGCTACGCACCACACACTGCACGACCAAAGTGGTTAGACGCAGGATTTTTAATCTCCCCGTGTGGGGTCTAACACGGAGAAAAATCGGCCGACAATTTTAAAATCGTCTCGTGTGAACCAGGCTTTAGTTCGGTCCTCGTTCCCTGTGTTTTTGGAAGTTTTGGTGTTTGCTTTTTATTAAATCCATTATTTGTTGCAGTTTTGCATTTTGGGTCTCATTTAATTTCACACACGTAACAACTTTGCTCTAAAATGTCTGTGCAACGCAGTGGATTAACCTGTGCCGCGGACTAAAGTGGGAAAAAATAACAAACTAACGGTGGGCATGTCCTGTTTGCAGTAAAATCCTGAATCACTCATAACCAGTGTCCCCCAACATTCTCAAAGCACACCACCAACTGAAAATAACACAAAAAGGAAAGTTTGAAGCCTATATTATAGCCTATAGCCAATCCAAAAGTAACTAAAAGTAGTGTATTTCTATGTAATAATGTTTATGAATTTATCTCGACCCTACACTGGTCCTGGATTGGTTCAGGTTAATCTCAGCTCGGAGCAAGTGTTGGTTACCATAGCAACACACGTTTACTTGCAGTATTTACTTTTGTTGCATTTCAGTAATATTAACCAATTTTGGCATGTATAATTTAAGTATGAAATCTTTTTAAGTACTTTTGGGGGATTTTTCACAATTTCATTAATTTGTCCAAATTCTGGGAGTCCTGGTGCAACAAAACAAAGTCATTCTCATCAAAATGTATCATAAAGAACATGAGACAAACTCAAAAAGTCTGTCTAATCTAAATGGTTTTCCACATTTTTACCAATTAGATGATACTAGAACTCTAAACAACAACTTTGAATGGACAAAAGTGTAACGCTCTTAGAATTAACTTTGAGAATGATTGCTATGCATTAAATCCAACTTACAATACTGTTCAAACAGGCTTTTCTCTCCAATGAAGGATAAAGACAGAGAAGCCAGGGACAGTATCAGTGACGCTAATAATATTTGAACAAAGATAAACGGTTCAATATTCTTAATGCCTTTAGGTAAGTTTGCCCGTGCATAATGGGTAAGTTGCTAGGGAAATTGCAGTTTTTCCTGACAGTCAAATAAAAAGAAAAATCAATCACAGCAGTCCATGCAGGCTTTTACATTGTTGACAAAGGGGAAAGTCAAAAGTAGAGTCAGTATATTTGTACGCATTTCTCCTGCATTTTTCCCACGTATTGATTCATGCCGAGCACAGTGTACCGCAACTCCACTTTTGCCAATAAAACATGAAAATAGCCATCGCTCGTCCCTCCGCAGAGTATTATCGGATTATACTCTATTTACAGCGTATTCTGCCATTCTATTGGATCCCCCGCGTTTGCATACATCTGTCATCTCCACTGCGGCCATTTAAGTCACTGCTGTTGGTAGATTGTCACTTAAGAGAATTACAAAATACATCAGACTGACTCATCACCAATACAAATCATTTCTGGGGATATATTCGAGTATCTTCCACCGACAACAGCAAGGAGGCCCCACGGGAAATCAGGATAAGCTCAGCGGAAAGACGGAAACAGATTAGATTTACATACAGCAGTCCCTTTAGTTTGAGGGCGCACTCTGTTGTGTCTCTACAATGCTGTCGGTAAATCATCCGTCAAAACTAGGGCTCTTTACCATCTGGTTTATGCGGCGATAGTGGTGTCGCGGCTCAATTATGTCTCGTTGTAGGAAAGATTAAGAGGTCAAACTGCCAGTAAGTGGGAAATGAGGTTAATGCAAATGAGGCGTCAACTCGGAAGAGCAAAAATGTAGATTTTTTTTGTATACAGAGAGAGAGATGGTCTGATGAGTAGTTTTGGTATGGACCACAAACTCAAAGAGGTATTACACATAAACATAACTATAGATATAGGAGGACATAGTACACACATTATTCATAAAAATGTGTCGGTTTGCATGTCATTATTCTTTCACTCCATACACGGTGGTGATGAACTACTACTGTAGCCACAGCTGCCCTCAGGCACACTGACAGAAGCGAGGCAACCAGTATGAGCTATCGGCCCTTCGGATCACGACCAATCATTCACACAAACCAGACTCATTCCAGGCAATGTGGGTGAAGTGTCTTGCCTAGGTTTGCCACAGCCACCCCTCTGTGGCTCCTGGTGTTCCCAGAGGTCTTCCACAAGGCCGGATTAGCAACACCAGGGGCCCTGGGCACTGAGACTCACCAGGCCCCGTCTCTAACCTAAAATATATATATATATATATATATATATATATATATATATATATATATATACTCGCCTTTCCAGAATGAGAAATAAAGCACTGTCATCTCTCTAACGAATTACACAACAACAATGAAATAAAAAAAATCATCACAGCCCAGTGCATGGCTAAGGATTATGACAATAAAGTGTTCACAGAAAAGCACCCAAGCAGAACCTCCACCAGTACTTCTCAAATGTTACTGACTGAAGATATAACAATGCCATCACATAACACTGAGTGCAGGTTGTATTCTGTCACCAAGTCAGCTGGATAACTTAACGCTGCAAAACAACAAATATGCAGCACTATAACTCTCTGCATCACACCACAATGAATTAAGCAAGATACATGTTGTGCAAACAGCATAATAGAATAAGCAAAATACATGTATTATCTGCACAATCATAAGAGTTTATAGTGGCCTACTCACTTCACATAAAGCACAATGGTTCTTACCTTTAGAAGTTCTTCTTTCTGGTCTTTTTCTTTGCAAAGTTGCAAATCAAGTCCTCAAACCCCGCAATAAATGCACTGTTGCTTTGTGAAAACACTTTACAAGGAAAGCAAAAAATATCTCCCGTTGATGGTGAATATATAATCCATTCTCGTGAAATAGCTTCCCCATTGTAGATGCGCCGGGTCAGAGCATCATTAGTAAGGGAGCGCGTCTTTCCCTCTGCGTCGTTCCTCCTCCGTGAAGCCGGATATTTAGCCGCCCGATTTTGAAAAGCTGAGATTCCTTTAAATAAAATGTCCTTGCGGGTGCTTTCTGTAAGCGATCCCCATAGTGCAGGGTCTTCAGATATTGACGAATTACCTTGTTCCGTTTGCTCTTCATTCATAGATGCCGCTTCATTTTCTACGGTAAGGATAGTTGCCGCCGTTAGCTCAGGCTGGGCATCACTGGTAGAAGGCGCTTCCAAGCTAACATTGCTGCTGGCTAGCTCGAAACCCTCCTCTTCAATTCTAGCTTTTTTGAAAAAGCTGTTAATTGGCATAACATTTTTTATGGCTGTCGCTTCCTTTTCTTTTTTCTTCTTGCGCTTTGCATGTCCGCTGGGCTTTTTGTTGATGCTGCTGAGGTCCATTTTCCCCCACTTTCCACTACATACACAATATATGGAAACCACCTGCTAAGCCCCACCCACCATTATCATTAGCCAATCTACACAATGCATTGCCACCCGCTCCCAATCATTACCTGTCAAGTCAACAAACTGACATATAAGGGAGACAATCACGAGAGTCCATTTCTTGTAGACAACCATTATTATTTCTGCCGGCAGAGGGCCCTTCTATGCCCGAGGGCCCCTGGGCACGTGCCCAGGTTGCCCATATGGTAGATCCGGGTCAGGTCTTCCATCGTAGTACTAACCAGGCCCTGCCCTGCACAGCTTCAGAAGTCTGAGAGGATCTGGCTTTCGCACGCAAGTATGGCTGCATTATTAAAGTAATTACACATACATAGAAAGACAAGAATACACATATATGGGACAAAGAAAATATAGCTAAATTAAGTAATGAGTCAAGTGCACAATACGTATGTAAGTTCTCTAGTGAAGGGTCACCTGCTTTCCCCATGATGTGATGTCCTGCAGTGGTACTGTTACTGAGCCTGCAAAATAAGTAAGTAATAACTCCACACAGAAAGGCTCTGTCTGGAGGTGGAATCGGACCAAGCAAAAGCACTAACCATTGCGCCACCGTGCGGCCCACACAGAGTATGAGGCAGTGTTTTTGCTCCTCTAGGATTTGTTATTTTTTTTCCTGGTCTTTTTGACTTCCTCGACTGATCCTCGACTCCATGTTTGGTTCGGCCAAAAATCTGGTAAAACAGATGGTGTCTAATGCACCATGACACAACATGGAAAAAGTGGAGGTACATTCTCTGGAGTAGGCCAATGCACCGGTGATAGATACACATGAGATACTCTGCATTGGAGCGCTGTCTTATATGATGATATTTGTTGAGAACTTGTGTTTTGTACTTTGGTCAACTGTGTGGTTTTACAATAAAGTTGAAATGAATTGAATGATCACATTAACTTTGTTTTGGTTTTTAAAGCAAACTGGTCCTAGATTTTTCCTCTAAATGTCATCACAGTCTGCATAAAAAGCTCTCACTGTTAACTCTGAGGCCCTACCTACAGATACAGCTGATAGTATCTTTGTGTGAGTAAAATCTATTCACCCAGGGATGCAAAAAATAACATTACACATATGGTGCTTTCCCACAGTTGGTCAGTTAGAGCCCAACTGATTTTACTGATACTGTAGACATTTTTGTGCACAAGCGTTGCCCAATCAGACTAAAAGTTTATTAACTAGAATCCAATGTTCACACACTCAACGCGCAAGTGTAACAGCACCACCAATGTGCACTCACATAATTACAGAGGGGAGCAAAAAAAATCATGCACAAAAGGCCACATTTTTCCACATCTGGCCTTGTTCACAGGTCAGATGCACCGCACCAAAGGAGATACAATTTTCACCAGTGATAGAGCAACAGAGACAAGCCTATACATGAACTGCTTCCCTATCATGAAAGAGTCCTCCATTGTTTATAAGAATGTTGCCACTGCATAGACTTTTGAATACCAAGAGTTTTCATGTAAAGTACTTCTAACCTTTCAATTCATCATCTAGACACAAAAAACTTTCATTAATTATTATAGTTTTCTCCCATGCATCTGTATTTTATTTTGTTATTGAGAATAATTCCGATCTGTTATTGTCAGGCACACAACAATTTATCTTAAAAAAAACTAAACTAAAAACAAATTATATAAGAAAATGTTATTTGTCTCATTGTTGCCCACACCTGATTTCTCACCCATGACTTAAAGACCTTATGACGGGTTTTAAAAAAAAAAATAGTGGATATCAAAATTGCATGACAATGTCAATTTGAAAGAGATTCCGGCAAAAAAATTCCTATATTTTATAAAAAGAACGTGTTTTTCATGAATTTAAGTTGTCTATGCTCTAACCTGTGTGTGACGTCATAGCGGGTAACGCCCATGCATTGAAAACCATGGATCTATGCCACAGGACTGCCTTTTCTCTCTTCTCTCCACTGATGCCCAACACAATACTGCACTCTACAGGTGACAATTGCTCACTACACATAAATTGCCGTTTTGAGTGTGAAAAAGTGTCCGAAGTGGGATTTGAACCCCAGCATCTGGATTGACAGTCCATCAATACAACCACTGGACTATCTCAGTGACTACAAAATGCTACATTCTAGTAGTTATTTGATACTCGCTGTACACGGCCTTGTCATCTTGAATATCCGCGAAAAAAGAACGAATACCAAATTGTAAACAACTTACAGCGTTGAAACGTACCCGTTCTGACGTCACCAAGGGCTGTGAAGTTTTTTCGTTTCTAAGGGCGTTGCTATGGGGTTATTTCGATTTGGGGGGATCAGACAAAAAAAACAACAACTGATTTTGAAACCTTTAGTAGTTCTCTTCTAATATAAAATGGTATTAAAACTGTATTTCTAAATAAATCAAACCCGTCATAAGGTCTTTAAGAAGAAAAGCTATCCTATTACCTGTAGCTCATCTCATTCTGTTCCCATGGTAACTGACTGATGATTTAATTAATATATACAAAAACTCCTGATAAAACGCACTTATATAATTAAGATAATGATCAAGAAAAGAAAAGAAAAATAAATGATACAGGTTTGGCAGGGAAAACTTAAACTTTGAACCCAAATGCTATAATTTGTGGGATACTCGAAAAACAAATTTGAACAATAAAATGCAAAATTTGTAACTTGATACATCAGTTTTTGTGCAATTATAAAAAATGTATTATTACAAATTAATTATTAAAAAATACATTGCATTTTGGTTCAGTGGATTCTTAAAACTGTTGTCACGGAATACATTCTTATTTATACTATTTTCATATTTTTGTCTGTGTCTATGTATAATATGGGTTTGCAGCCATGACTTGTGTTTCTGTCTGTGTACTTTAAAAGTGCAATCAGAAATTGTCCAAAACAAAAAGCCAATATCATTCACACTCATTTCATGCTGTTCTTTTGTCCTTTTGTTTGGCTCGCGCGTGCTCTTGGGCTTCTGTCCTGTGATAGAATAATCTGCAATGATGTGATAGCGGTAAAAATCTGCATGCGCTCCTGTCAGAAAGGTGCCGTGTGCAGCCGACAAGAGGAAATGAGATGCGCTCACACAGACATACACACACATACGCACACGCACACACACACACACACTCTAATGCTGTCTGTCGCCACATGAGCTGCCTGTGCCGTCTGTCACACATGCAGGTCAAAGCATGCCGAGGCACTAGACTTATTTTTATTATTATAATGGAATGCAGAAAAAGACACCAAGAAATCCACTACGAAACTTTCAGACCGGTGCTTGGGAAATCCTGAAAGATTATAACGCTTCTCTCTGATTTACTGAAAGATCTCTATCGTCTATAATGCCCAAGGCTCATTATTATGAAAGGATTTGTATAGGACACTATTTAAGTCAACTGAATTAAATATTGCAAGATGGTTGAAATTGATTTTATACATTCATAGTTGTTGTCTGTTGTTTTCTCTTATGTCATGTAGGTCTGTATGTGTATGTATTCATGTGTTTATATTTATATGTATGCGTGTGTTTGTGTGTGTGTGTGTGTGTGTGTGTGTGTGTGTGTGTGTGTGTGTGTGTGTGTGTGTGTGTGTGTGTGTGTGTGTGTGTGTGTGTGTACTGTATTAACTAGATGCAATTTATTATATATAATTTATAGTTTGCACTTAAAAAGGAAAACTCTCAACCAAAAAACAACAACAAAAAATGTAGCTGAAAATGATCAGCAACGACTGGAAGAGGATTTATTTATTCCCAGACACTCACACACATTCACCTTGGACTACAGTCAAGTTAAGACATACGTTTGTTACATTCGGATTTGCTCTAGATTCACGGATAAATCAGCTCTA